TGAAGGCTCTAGACCCTTCCAGAGCTGAGATGTTGAGATATTTATAATGGCATAAATGGTACGTAGGATCTCAATATCTCAGCTTTGGAAGGGTCTAGAGCCTCCATTTTTGCACTCAGGTCTGTCCCATGGCCCTCTATCAGAATCCAGAGTTTCAAAAAGATCAGAGAAACTCAAAATTTCGACCCCCCAAAAAAACGACAGTGGTACCCCTGTCGTTTTTTTGGTGCGGAAAAATAAGTTTCTCTAATCTTCTTGAAACTCTGGATTCTGATAGAGGGCCATGGGACAGACCTGAGTGCAAAAATGGAGGCTCTAGACCCTTCCAGAGCTGAGATATTGAGATATGTATAATGGCATAAATGCTACGTGGGATTAGAGGTCTTCACGGGTCCACTTGGATCCGAAAACCCGAGGTCCGACCCGAGACCCGAGCGGGTTCGGGTCCAAAACTCCGACGAGTGTCTCGGACACGGGTCGGGTTCGGTATTAGTGGCCTCAGGTCTCGGGTAACTTAAAATAAATATGCCTTTTCCAAATGGACCCGAGAAGACCCAAATTATTTTAAACAATGTTGGGCATTTAAGAAAATTGGAGCATTTAAAACAACTCTGACCGTTCAGACTTTTTTTTTTAAGTGAGAGAGCAAATCCGCGCTTTTACGTGCAATGGGATACAAGCCTAAGCACGGTTGCCTCCGCATTTATTTACTCAGTTGCTCGCACTAACCAACCCCTCCGTTTGCAAAGAAGAACTAGTGCGCCATCATGTGGATGGATGTTTGACTACATGCAAGTATTTGAATTGTCGTTTAGCCAGGCCTGTCAATCAATTTTAAAAATACGCGACACTGTCAGACAAGCATTGAGACGATAAAACAGATATTGCGAAAAAGGTGAGGGAAAACAAATATGTAGAACAGAAACATCCAGGTTCATCCTTATCAACAATGATTTGTGATCATTGTTGATATGGAAGGAAAAAAGACGTGGAGTTAAATGCGTTGATACAATAACGTTATTAAGATTTGAATTAAGAACGTCCAATTTGACTGCTATTGTGGTTCTAATGCACTGTTTTAATCGCATTTTATCTAAACAACTTTGCAACAACGGGATTGTAGGCTAAATAACACAATTTTAGTAAAAGTCAATGACTGGTAGAATTTAAATGAAAAGTGGGCTATTTTAAAAACAGCCATCGGTAAATTTTACCCTGAGGTGGTTCTAATCATCGTGGTCTGGTAAATAACATTATGCCAAATGTTATAGGACTTATAGGGTTACAGTGATGTGTGATTGACATTTTAGCACTCAGCGTGCACTTGCGCGTCTATGTTAAGCGCACTTTTGAGGAACGCAGGGCTGCAGGCTGTGCACACTGTAAATGCCGTTTACGTTCGGGTCCAGTCGGGTTCTAACGGAAATGGCGTCAGGTCGGGTCGGACTCGGGTCTAATTTTATCGGGTCTGTCTCGGGTCGGGTTTTTCTTTTTAAAAAAATAATTTATGCACGTCGGGTTCGGGTAAGCAGTGATTCGGGTCAATTCGGGTCGGGTACAGTTTTTAGGACCCGAGAAGACCTCTACGTGGGATCTCAATATCTCAGCTCTGGAAGGGTCTAGAGCCTCCATTTTTGCACTCAGGTCTAAATCCCATGGACTCCATTTTTTTTTTTTTGGTGCGAAAAAATACGTTTCTCCAATCTTCTTGAAACTCTGGATTCTGATAGAGGGCCATGGGACTTAGACCTGAGTGCAAAAATGGAGGCTCTAGACCCTTCCAGAGCTGAGATATTTATAATGGCATAAATGGTACGTGGGATCGCAATATATCAGCTCTGGAAGGGTTAGAGCCTCCATTTTGGCACTCAGTTCTAAGTCCCATGGCCCTCTATCAGAATCCAGAGTTTCAAGAAGATCAGAGAAACTAAAAATTTCAACCCCCCCCAAAAAAAAACGACAATGGTACCCCTGTCGTTTTTTTTTTTTTGGGTGCGAAAAAATAAGTTTTTCCAATCTTATTGAAACTCTGGATTCTGATAGAGGGCCATGAGACTTAGACCTGAGTGCAAAAATGGACGCTCTAGACCCTTCCAGAGCTGAGATATTGAGATATTTATAATGGCATAAATGCTACGTGGGATCTCAATATCTCAGCTCTGGAAGCGTCTAGAGCCTCCATTTTTGCACTCAGGTCTAAGTCCCATGGCCCTCTATCAGAATCCAGAGTTTCAAAAAGATCAGAGAAACTCAAAATTTCGACCCCCCAAAAAAACGACAGTGGTACCCCTGTCGTTTTTTTGGTGCGGAAAAATAAGTTTCTCTAATCTTCTTGAAACTCTGGATTCTGATAGAGGGCCATGGGACAGACCTGAGTGCAAAAATGGAGGCTCTAGACCCTTCCAGAGCTGAGATATTGAGATATGTATAATGGCATAAATGCTACGTGGGATTAGAGGTCTTCACGGGTCCACTTGGATCCGAAAACCCGAGGTCCGACCCGAGACCCGAGCGGGTTCGGGTCCAAAACTCCGACGAGTGTCTCGGACACGGGTCGGGTTCGGTATTAGTAGCCTCAGGTCTCGGGTAACTTAAAATAAATATGCCTTTTCCAAATGGACCCGAGAAGACCCGAATTATTTTAAACAATGTTGGGCATTTAAGAAAATTGGAGCATTTAAAACAACTCTGAGCGTTCAGACTTTTTTTTTTTAAGTGAGAGAGCAAATCCGCGCTTTTACGTGCAATGGGATATAAGCCTAAGCACGGTTGCCTCCGTATTTATTTACTCATTTGCTCGCACTAACCAACCCCTCCGTTTGCAAAGAAGAACTAGTGCGCCATCATGTGGATGGATGTTTGACTACATGCAAGTATTTGAATTGTCGTTTAGCCAGGCCTGTCAATCAATTTTAAAAATACGCGACACTGTCAGACAAGCATTGAGACGATAAAACAGATATTGCGAAAAAGGTGGGGGAAAACAAATATGTAGAACAGAAACATCCAGGTTCATCCTTATCAACAATGATTTGTGATCATTGTTGATATGGAAGGAAAAAAGACGTGCAGTTAAATGCGTTGATACAATAACGTTATTAAGATTTGAATTAAGAACGTCCAATTTGACTGCTATTGTGGTTCTAATGCCCTGTTTTAATCGCATTTTATCTAAACAACTCTGCAACAACGGGATTGTAGGCTAAATAACACAATTTTAGTAAAAGTCAATGACTGGTAGAATTTAAATGAAAAGTGGGCTATTTTAAAAACAGCCATCGGTAAATTTTACCCTGAGGTGGTTCTAATCATCGTGGTCCGGTAAATAACATTATGCCAAATGTTATAGGACTTAAAGGGTTACAGTGATGTGTGATTGACATTTTAGCACTCACCGTGCACTTGCGCGTCTATGTTAAGCGCACTTTTAAGGAACGCAGGGCTGCAGGCTGTGCACACTGTAAATGCCGTTTACGTTCGGGTCCAGTCGGGTTCTAACGGAAATGGCGTCAGGTCGGGTCGGACTCGGGTCTAATTTTATCGGGTCTGTCTCGGGTCGGGTTTTTCTTTTTAAAAAAATAATTTATGCACGTCAGGTTCGGGTCAATTCGGGTCGTACCCCTGTCATTTTTTTTTTTGGTGCGAAAAAATACGTTTTTCCAATCTTATTGAAACACTGGATTCTGATAGAGGGCCATGGGACTTAGACCTGAGTGCAAAAATGGAGGCTCTAGACCCTTCCAGAGCTGAGATATTGAGATATTTATAATGGCATAAATGCTACGTGGGATCTCAATATCTCAGCCCTGGAAGGGTCTAGAGCCTCCATTTTGGCACTCAGTTCTAAGTCCCAAATTTTTAGTTTCTCTGATTTTAGTTTTTTAGTGGTACCCCTGTCGTTTTTTTTTTTTTTTTTGCGAAAAAATAAGTTTCTCCAATCTTCTTGAAACTCTAGATTCTGATAGAGGGCCATGGGACTTAGACCTGAGTGCAAAAATGGAGGCTCTAGACCCTTCAAGAGCTGAGATATTGAGATATTTATAATGGCATAAATGCTACATGGGATCTCAATATCTCAGCTCTGGAAGGGTCTAGAGCCTTCATTTTGGCACTCAGGTCTAAGTCCCAATGCCCTCTATCAGAATCTAGAGTTTCAAGAAGATCAGAGAAACTAAAAATTTCGACCATAATAGACCATAATAAATAACTTATTTACAGCTACAAATATATGAATTATACAATATCATGGCTATTGGTAAGAATTATTTTATTAATAATTATTATAGACTTAAATAAAAATATCCTGACAGTGAGACTTAACCATAAGGAAATGCCTAAAAAAACCAAAAAAATGCCTAAACAGGTAAAAACTACACACAATGAATTATATAGCCTATTACTCTACCACCCCTAATAAATCTAATGCAATATAAATGACTATAACTGTGACAAAGTTCTAAGTTACCCCTGGTGGCAGTGCCGGTGTCTGTGTGCTTTATATTCATTTGTTTCTCATTATTTGGTGACTTTTTCAGTCTGAGGTGCACATTAGACTGATAAAAACACCAAAAGATTTATTTCTTTATTTCTTTTATTTTGGTATTTACATAAATCATTAGTTTTTATTAATAATTATTATAGGCTTAAATTAAAAATCCTGACAGTGAGACTTAACCATAAGAAAATGCCTAAAAAAACAACAAATGCCTAAACAGGTAAAAACTATACACACAATGAATTATATATTACTCTACCCCCCTAATAAATCTAATGCAATATAAATGACTATAACTGTGACAAAGTCCTAAGTTACCCCTGATGGCAGTGTATGCCCGGTGTCTGTTTGCTTTATATTCGTTTGTTTCTCATTATTTGGTGACTTTTTCAGTCTGAGGTGCACATTAGACTGATAAAAACACCAAGAGATTTATTTCTTTATTTTTTATTTTATTTTGGTATTTACATAAATCATTAGTTTTATCCTCATTTGCAAAACTAACCTTCTGGGTTCATGTCTGCAGCATGGTTTCCGGGGGTGGGTGTTAAGAGGATGAGCGGCCTTCCTGTTCCTCATTTTATGCCATCCCAAAGAATTCTGGGTAGTGTTGGCATAGTCCATTTCTCAATGGGAGCAGGGGGTTATTGTTTCATGTTTTATTGTGTTTATGTTCATTGTATGTAGAAATGTATTTGTTTATTATTTGTATTATTTTCCTTGTATATTTAAGGTTGATGTATTTGAATATTATTTTCATTTTAAGTGTAGTTATGAATGATATGTGTGAACATTATTAAATTTCCCTATTACTGTAAAATGGTTGACCCTTTCAGTATTAAGGAATGTAGGCTATGTTTGTCTGTGAAAGTAGTTCTAGTGAAGAGGATCACCTTGAGTGAGTTTTGTTTATGTTATTTTTTTTTAATTTGATAAAATAAAAAATTGTTTATTTGGAAGTCAATAAAGATTTCACTGACTGTAAGCAGTGTCTCCTGCCTTTGCTCTGGTCATGTCTTCACAATAACATATTCAATATAAATATTCCACATTTCTGCCCAAACCATTGTAAATTATTACATGCATGGTAAATGTTTGTAAGGGTGGTGGTTAGGGGATTTATAGTCTTCTAACTTTGTTCATGTTTCTGCTATTTACCTCATCAGTAGTGTTGGCAATTTTAAGACGGTTTCATCCGATTTAAAATCATTGAGTGATTTGTGGTTTGTAACAGAGAGGAGTGTCCGATTGAGACGCTTCTCACTAGATACCGCAACGCTGTTTCATAATAGTGTCCGGGACCGGGAGTAAACGCAACTCCTTTAAGCTTGCGTTCTGTTATCCACTGGACCGTGCTGCCTAGTTCAAAGTAAAATAGTGAAACGACTGAAACCAGCACAATTTTTTTCTCTATTTGTTGGTACTGACCGAGAAACTGCTTCAGATGATTCAGTGACTGAACAGTCCGAACGAATCCGAATCGTTTCAGACCGTTACGCAAGCGTGTTTGGCAAATTCATGGAAAGAAATAATCGAACCAACGAATGATTAATATCGCTAGTTCAGTCGACAGAAATACGGGACACATAATAACTGTTGAAATATTCGGACTGAAAACAATTCTCTCAGGTCAGTCAGGGCGCTGATGGTACACACACAGTGCGTATAGTCGTCCAGCTGCAGGCGCCACTGCGGCCACACGCATATACCAAATTTAGCCGCACCACCAGAAAATAGGAGGAGGGAGGTTTTTTGTTTTTTTTTTACCTTTATTTATCCAGGTAAAATGTTTGAGAACCACTTCTCATTTACAAACATGACCTGAGTTGGGGTGCCCTCTGGCTGTACGGAGATGATTGGCGGGCCGCATTTGGCCCGTGGGCCGCCAGTTGATTAGCCCTGCTCTAGACCCTTCCTGAGCTGAGATATTGAGATATTTATAATGGCATAAATGCTATGTGGGATCTCAATATCTCAGCTCTGGAAGGGTCTAGAGCCTTCATTTTGGCACTCAGGTCTAAGTTTCATGGCCCTCTATTAGAATCCAGAGTTTCAAGAAGATCCGAGGAACTTATTTTCTTGCACCGAAAAAGTCGACAGGGGTACCCTGTCGAAATTTTGAGTGTCTCTGATCTTCTTGACACTCTGGATTCTGATAGAGGGCCATGAGACTTAGACCTGAGTGCAAAAATGGAGGCTCTAAACCCTTTAAGAGCTGAGATATTGAGATCCCACGTAGAATTTATGCCATTATAAAAATAGTGGGTTCGCAGACAGTACCTATCCAAATATACTACCCGAAACCCCATTAAAAGTGCCTCTATCCATAAAAAATATATATTAAAGGAAGGTGGAATACCTAAGATTTTTGCATTCAAATATCCCAAAATCACAAGGCTAGTGTTATATATTTAGTTAAGATGATAACTCACAATATTCCAAATGTTTCAAACAATGTTTAAATCGCGTGAAAATTGAGATTTTAACCAAGGAAACGGGGCGTATGAGCAGGGGTGAGCTGGGAGTCGCCAGTCAATCGCGGCATATCCGCTTACCTCGGTTTCCGCTCGTACTACGTGTAGTCCTGGACAAATGCGGTAGTTGTAGTTGTGCGTTAGCGTCTATCAAGCAACAAACGTCAGCTTGTTTCGCGCATTTGTTATGGAATGGAGCACAATTATTCTTTTCATTTATTCTCGGAATGTGAACTGTTGGCTGTAAAGGGGGTCACACACCGGACGAGAAGCGTCGCGCCACGTTTAGGACAACTACACAGTAACGTTATCAAACACCGGACGCGCACTTTCTCATCAGTGTATGGCCAGCAATATTGTTATGTTTAATGACATGAAATGAAGATAATGTCTGTTCTATGTTATGATTGTACTGTACAATTAAATACATTGCTGCAAATTCGTACAAATTCGTTGCTGAGTTTGCATTCTGAAAACTTTACCTCAGATCATCCGTTCACTGAATTAATTGAGAATCTCACCTGAAAAATCTAATTATAACATCAGCAATTGTCATTCAAGCAGCTGATTTCTGTAAATGACTGCAAAACTAAATGCGTATTGCAGCATAGGGCGAAGTCAGGATCCATTAGCAACGATTTGAGACAAAATGAAAATTTTATATGAAACTATGTAAATGGTGCTCTGTGGTGCAGCAGGATTTTGAACACGGTCCTGAGGCGTTGTTGCTGGGCTCCGCGGACAGACGCCGAATGGCGCTGCCGGTATGTGTAACGTTACACTTAGATAATAATGTTTTCGAATTTTAAAGATGTGGCGCGACGCGGCGCTGCAGCTTCTCGTCTGGTGTGCGACCCCCTTAACGTTAATTTTGTGAAACTGTAGCATGTGGTTGAATACTTACACGACATGAAAAGATGTGTCAAATGTTCATTAAATTGATTTTTTATTTTTATAAAGTTACCAAGGAGGACAAGCCACGTCAACTCCTTGCAAGAGACCTGCCCCTTCAAACCCTCTCCACCATAGCTTCGTCCAGTGACTCGTACAGTAACTAATTTACTTTTAAACCTGACTTTTCTTGCGGTTATTTCAGTTTAATGAAAAACAAGCATGTCATTAAACGCAACGTTTATAGAAATCGAACTTTACCTCATCCATGACAACTAATTTTCGATTCCCGTCTGACTGATTTATCCACGGTGGAGTTGAAAACAATAGTTCCCATCATTCCGCATTCCTCCACGTCGTCATCAAGCAAAGCCGTTGTTGTTGTTTTGAATGAGGCGCCCTCTAGCGGCATCTAAATCTTAGGTATTGCAGCTTTAATATAAAATATTTAAAATATTCATATTTAAGTTGCGCTTTAGATTTAAGTCAAATCCATATGTTCTTTTGGCCGGAAGTTGTTTTACTTTATAAAGATTTAAATATGGATATTTTTCTTACATCTCCATCTTTCTCATTACTCCACATAAAGTCAACATCTGAGATATTTTCATCAGCTATATGTTCAAGCACTTCAGAACTGTATATTCTGCACATGAAAAAGTTTCAAAAATGTATCTGTGATATAATTTTTTTTTATAAAAGAAATTTCTGTTTTCTTTTTTCTGTTTGATTTGAAAATGTGACATTCGAATGTTCGTTTTTTTGTTTTTTTTTGCACACCTGCATCCCCCTCAAAACGGTTCTTCTGGCTAGAGCGCAGAACAGCAGAGTGTGTGTGTGGACAGAAGTGCATGCCTGAGCTTGTATTATGCAGATAGAGTTACATGCACATTTGCACACACATGCAAGGTCTCTCACTCTCTCCTCTTTGTCCTGCGAGTGCTACTTGGGTTCGGAACTCCCAAGCTCTAGATTCCGGGAGATTTGGACTAATTTGCGGGCATCAGGGAGCCGCTATCAACACTCCCAGGAGACTTAGGATGTCTGAGACGTAGGCTATAGAGATTCCGAAGCTTTGAATATTTGATGTTCATTACTACCGAAGCTTCGAAGCTCAAAAAAAGTGTATTCGGACCAGCCCCAATCGCTCGTGTGTTCTAGCACGCGGGCTCTTGTAAAAAATGATTGCAATCTGAAACATCACCGATAGAGGCCGCTAAAAAAATGTATACAGCACCTTTAAATAAAACAAGAGATCACATGCTTTCTCATATGATGGTAGCACAACGAGTCTTAAGTTCATTATGAATGAGCATTGCATGGCAGAATATGGCTGAGCACAAGATCACGTATTTTCTTTATGGCTACTACTCACCATATGAGAGCGAGAGGCTGAAAAATGACTATTTTCACAGAGCACACTTGATATTCAGCTCAATAAAAATGTTCCACACTATTTATTTTAATTTATTTCCAAACAGGTAAATGTTTTCAATAATTTATAATGCTGTTTGCAAGAATATTTCTTACAGCACGTTTCTTAAAATGGGTTCCTGATGTAAGTATTGCATATAATAATTTCTGAGGTCACAATGATCCACCTCTTTATTGTGGTGTTTGATCCTGATTTGACTCACGTTGAAAGCTTCATTGCAAGGCCTCCAGCGTCTAAAGCAGCAAAATAAAATAAAACGCTCTGCCTGAGGCAGTGAAGGTACTTCGCAGTTTGAGGTGAAGAGAACAGTGGGCTTGGATTTCCTTCACTTTAACATGAACTCTGGTACCGAGTGACTTTAGTAAAAGCATTGTGCTTGTGTGCTTAATCTTTAAATATGGAAAGCTCGCAGCACCCTAAGAATGTCTATACTTCAGGAAGACTGATGAGATGGGAGTGCTATATTCTTCATCTCAGTTAACTCTCCATACAAACTGTGTTCATTTAGTAGGTGTTATAGACCCCTTTTGCGCCGATGTCACAGTTACGTCACGGCGCTAGCTGGAGGCAAAACAAAGTGAAAACTGAAGGCGGCCAATGCAAACCAGCACAGATTCGGCTACATAATAAGGAGCTTAAATTACTTTTATTATTTTTAAATGTCATCTTATTGTGTTGTTTGGTGCAAGTATCAATGAAAAATGAATATGCTGTATCTGGATTTTTTTATTTCTAGAAAATATTCACATGATTAAAATCGCACCGTCATGACACTCCTTACATTGTCGTCTTCTCTGCCCTGGCTCGGCAGAACTGCGGATCATACACACAAGTCTTGTACAGGACCATTCAGCACATAGTTATAGGCATCTAGAGATTTATATGCCCTCAGTTTTACTTTACGATCGGTTTC